TTTATTTACTGTTGATCTGAGTTTATATTTTTGTACGAAGTCCTTTCTGGTTGATTTACTGAAGTTCTGAGAAAGAGAAAGAGAAAACTATTTTTTTCGACACTCCCCTTCCCATTCTTTCTCCGACTTAAAATACAACAGTTACTTGAAATGAAGTTTGAGATCAGTATTAGAAAATTGTGCCAAAACTAGGCTGATAGGTGGGGAACAGTGAAGCGCGGGACAATATACCTAATCACCCTTAAAGGTTACCCTGAAATTAGAAAATCTGCCTTACCGAAGAAATCTAGAAGTTGGTAACTATGTTTAGTTCCATACTTCGCTTCCTTAAGCTAAGAAAGTGTGAAATTTCCTTATCCTGCTTTTTTTCCCAGAATGTAAAACCTTAATAAAAATAAACAAAGACCCCCTGAATTTTTCTTTTGGCTTTTCGATTTTCTACGGTTTTTACGAATTTTAGAGGCCTTTATTGATAATGAAATATTTAGTGTTTTTTGAAATTGGATGAGATTTTTAAATTACATTCGGTTCTTTTGCTCCTCAAATTTTACAGGTTTGTTTATGGAATGCTTCAGTCCCAATTAAGTCAGAGATAATTATGGAGCGGGGAGGTGGAGGGGAAGGTATATTTCCGCATGTTATCGTTTTGCTCGTCGTAGCGGCCAAAGGAGACCAATTTTTACTTTTATGAAACAGGACCGGAACTCTTAACTGAGTAGCTTGGTTGAATTACTAACTCCATTTACTGCTTTATTGGTTCATTTTTTGATTTGGTGAGGTACGGTGACAAACTTACATACTCCACTTCACTTTCTCTGAAGAGCTGAATTTTGTAACGCTTATTTAGTAGTTGTTCTGACTCATTGATTGGCGAACTTAACACTTGATTAAATTTGTTCATTCAGTGCTTAATTTTTACCAAATATTTTTTAATATTTGTTAAGATGTATATGCCACATATGTGTGCTTTCTAAATGGACAAATGTTGCCGAAATATCACCAATTAATCGTTTGAAAATAAGTGGGATGGCCACCGAAGCTGAAACTGAAGCTGCTGTGACAGTTGCTGCAACTGCTGTAGGGAAGGATGCTGAAAGATTGCAGCAGATGATTTTAAATTTTGTAAGTCAATGCCTTTTTTATTTTTATTTGTTTAGGCTTTGACTGAGCACTACAAAATTTTGCTCAGTGACGGGATCGCAGAGGAGTAACAAGTTTTGGAATTTTGTTTCTTGATTGGTGTTAGAAACTAAAGTTCTTATTGTAGAATGAAAGATTGATTTTCAGGACGCGGTACAGATGCGTGAAATATTTTGGGATGTTGATGCAGAACAGGGCATTGGAACTGTTTGCTATGAGGCGCTTGACCTTTTACGTTCGATGACTGATGTGCGTGGCTCTAATTTGATCTCATTTTCTTATAAAGTGTTTTAAATAATTCCACCTAATGTTACTTTTGTTTTTGTTCTGGCTTGGGTTTTTCATATTGTTTTTTTATTTCATTGTGCTGAAAGAATATTTACCCAGATTAGGATCTCCTTATTTTTTATATTAGGAAGAAAAGGCGAAATGCTGTCGAGACCTGGTTCAGAATCTGTTGGACAAAGAAAACCCAAGATATGTTCACATTGAACGGATTTTAACAAAGCTTTTTATAGCTGCATATGAACGAGAAGTTATTAGCTTACCGTAAGTTTTATTTATTAATATTATGATATTTATTGTGTCTCTTTCAGATGGTTTGTGTATTTGCTTAAGATGAGCTTTTTTATAGTTTCTGAAAGTTTTTGGCTGATTGAAGTTCCAGCTAGTCTCGGTGTAGAGAGTCATTTTTTTTAGTGCTAATTTCTCCTTTTTTTAAAAAAATTTTTTACATTTTTTTTTTTCAGTGAATGTTGTGAGCTTCTGGTCACTTGCACGGACTTCACGCTGCGTCATCCTATTGATGCTAAGAAGTTTGAGTTTGTACAATCGAAGTTGCACTTAATAGATTATAAGGGACTTCGAAGTATCCTTAAACTGCTAGTCGTTGATCGGATGCAGGAAATGCCGTCTCAAATATCGCATTACCATAGACAAATGTTACTTCCTGTGGAAAATGTAGTCATTTCACATAGTTCTGGTTCTTTTTGAGTTACAACTATTAACTTCATTTTTTCCTCGGAATTACAGATGCTTCTGGCTTTAATAGAGCGGGAACTCAACCTTCTACCATGTTTATTCACCATTACAGAACTGCAGAGAATCTCGACAAATTCACGAGCTTTTCTTTTACCGGTGCAGTTTTGAAGCTGTTTTTTACTTTCTTATCGATGTTAAGACAGGATTACGTATTCTGCTTTTCACTTAAAAATTTGGCACGGTTTAGTTGTTTTCTTGATGTGAACCTAACGTATTTCATAAAAAAGTTGCATAATGTAAAACTTTAGAGAGTTGCGAAAAAATTTAATGAGTTATTTATCTCATTCCGTCCGCTAGCCGAAATGGTAGTTGTAATTGGACGTCCATGGTTGTTCCCAATATCAACGCACATATCTTTTGTTCTAATTGCTAACTCGTGGAAACTCGAACCAGTGTCGACAAGAATACATCAGCGTGCTCATCTTCCGTACAGGTCGGAATTATTTGCTCCGCAGTCTGCACTGCTGTATACGCTTTTGAGGCAACCACGTGGAAAGGAAGCTATGGCGGTGAGTGGTGCGTTGACGAAGTTCTAAGGCTTCCAGACTTTCATTTTCTTACATGGGGTTATATCATATGTTTCTTTTTAACTGGCTGCGCTTTGACGCTGGATGTGTTTCAACTTTTTACCATGCTTCTTTATCATGTAAAGGAACTTTTGTAAGAATATTGGTTTTTTCATCCATGGTGATTTTCCCCTGTAGCCTTTGCTCTGTTTTTTAAGTTGGCTTGCGCACGTAATTACAATAACTATTATATTTTATTTCTTCTTAGTTCACTCAAAAAAATGTTATTTGTTAGTTTACTGAAATAATTCTGATAATTTCTAGTGGGTTATAAGACCGACTAGTAATGCTCCTAGACTGCAGTGTGATGAACTGTTACAAATGATCATCTTGGAAGCAATGAGTGAAATGGAGAAAACCGACGTTCGTGTTGATGATGCTGTAAATCAATACCAGTGGATGAATATTACTCAAACCGTTACATTTTCACTAATCCAAGGACATGCTTCATTTTCTCGCTTGTTAAAGATCTTATACGAATCGGTAAACGTTTACAAACTTTCTTTTTTCAAGTTTCATTCTAGCGAAAATTTTCATTTAGTTAACGGAAACAGTTTATCGCAAAGGGAGAGCTGAGCTCATGTGGATCATTTTGCAATATGTTGCCATTTTCCTCTCCCAGATAACTACCGAGGATATGCAGAGGATTGCTGACATTTATAACCTGTTATACAAGTTGGTTATAGTCAGTTCTAGAGATGGCTAAAGTTCTGTGACTTAAGATCGCTTCTTCTGACTGTGCCGTGTTGGTCTCAAAATTTCAGAGGAGAAGAGGCGTTTTGGGGTGTGGATACAGATCCTTTGTTCTTTGTAAGAATTTTTGTTCCTGCCGCTATATGGATCAATTTTTATACAAAAGATGTAGCAACGACTCCGAAGCCTTCAGAGTCATTGCAAAGCCAAATCCAGTTCTTGAAGCAAACTGCTGAAGCAGATCAAAATCCTGCTTTGAAAAATGTCGCTGATCACAATGCAGTGCTGGCTGCTGTTGCAAACGCATGTAAAATCTTTCATTTTGATAGATTTTTCATGCTACAATTTGACTATATAATTTTCTTCATTATTTTTCTTTTTGAAGTCATACTTGTAATTTTTTTTTTGATTTTATGTATCCTTCTACTGAAAAAATTTTCACGGCGGTTTAACCATCCGCTTTTTATAGATAGCAACGACATGGAAACTTTCAAGAAACTTGTTCTTGACAATGTCGAATCTTTTCTGGACTGTAAAGCTGATGAAAGAGAACAGCTGCCTTATATGGTAATGTGTCACGGCAGACGGGTACCACTGTCGTTAATTCTCATCGATTCATTAACGATACATTCGCGTTATCGGCTGTTGCAAATGTTGTTATTGAAGATACACTCTGTCATTGATATGACACCACCACTGAAGTATCCAAGCCCTGCAGTCGTTGGTATTTTTCACAGGATTTCTGCTTAAAAAAAAAAAAAAAAAAAAAAAAAAAAAA